GTGTGTGTGTGTGTGTGTGTGTGTGTGTGTGTGTGTGTGTGTGTGTGTGTGTGTGTCTGCACCACTCACCAGCCATTTCCAAAAGAACATGTCAGATATAATGGGGTTGGCGTCTGCCACACATATCAGGTCTGCCGTTCTCCCCAGGTCGACAAACACGGGGTCTTTCTCTGCTCTGACGCTGGGAGGATCTGAGCGAAAGAAAAATGGACAAGGTCGAGGGAGACCTGACATCAGCTAGAGAGATAAAGAGTCTATTAAAAAGCCTTGTTGCATTGTTGTAATTACTCCAGCACTTGTTTGCCTTCGACAGTGTTCATAACCGCAGTGTAAACTGGCCGTGCTTCAGATTTGATACTATTAACTTCCTTTTACGCTGGAGCAAAAACCAATCTTGCGACTACATTAAAATCTGGTCACATGACCTCTGAATCCCTCTAATGAGAACACATTCCCATTTGGAATATTAAGTGACCAGTTTGCCCTCTTTTATTGCCTCTTTTTATCCATCTATCCATCGGTTATTCTCTTTTCACAGCCCAGGTGGCTTTACCTCGTCTTTGTTAGCCTCACAAGCTTTTTATACTTCCCGTGGGTACCATGTACATGCAACAGTAAGGCCATTAGTGCCTACTTGTCTGAACTTATGTTCACTCTTGAAGAACAGTGGCAAGAAACAGTGGCAAGACACAGACCCCTGGGTTGGTAGGATCTACTCATGTTGGTCTCCTAACAAAGAGCGACATTGTTAAATGGGCTACACTGCCACACATAAAAGCTACTACAATCCTACATACATAATGAATATCTACAACTGTCAGGCCCAGTCAGTGCAGGATGGCAGAATCCATTAGGCGTGTACCATGGGCTTTGGTGAATCAGGCAGACCTACATTTCCAGCACTCACATTATTAAATCATCACTATTGAGGCAGAGGGCCTGAAGCTGGAGGCTGGGCCCGAGGCTGCAGAGGAAGTGGATGGTCCTCACATGGAGGCCTAATGAAGGTCTGGTGTGGACGAGCCGGTAAGTCCACGCAGCTACAGACAAATTCATAATTAGGCTGTCAGGAGCCCAAGGTTTTAGAATAAATCACAGCAATAAGAATTTAATTTTTTTCCAGAACTTCAATTTGAAAGTCAGAAGAGGTGAAATAAGTAAAAGTTTGAGTTTGTATTGTCAGTTTTTTTTTGTAGAGCAGAAACTCTCAGTCTCTAATCAAACTGTGATGAGTAGGAGGGCTAAATTGGGATTTGCCAACTTCAAATTCACTAACAGGTTTTGTCAGTCTCACCAGTCAGTTCAAAGGAAATGAAGTCCCACACTGACTGACATTTGTCTTAGCGGTTAGCGATAAGCTGGCAGTGTTAGCTTCTGCTAATTTGTTTATTTATCTTTTACATGTCGAAGCTCTGTCGGTAGAGCTGTTGCTTCCCAAGAAAGTTGCTGGATCGAATTCCGGCCTGAGAACTTTATGAGTAGAGTTTGCATATTTTCTCTGTGTATGCATTGGTTTGTACGGTTTTCACTTTGRTCTTGACTACACTCAGATTAGCCATTAGCAAGTCAGTCTGATTGGAATTACAGTAAACTCCAAACTGAGGTTGTTCAAAAAGCTACTTACAGCAAGTAATCTCACCACAAACTGTCTCAACTATCATTTTTTAAATAGTCTGGATATAAAAATGTAAATAAAGCAGCTAACTTTTGGTAGCTTTGTGACTCTGACACGCCTCAAAAAGATCAATATTTCTTATCCACCAGGAATCGTGACAGGTTTGTTGGAGGCTTTGGAACTGAAAATGCAGACCTACAAAAAAGTAATAAAAAATAAATAAATAAATAATAAAAAACCTAAAGGAAAAATCTGTTGTGGCATCAAAACGATAGAAACGAATGACACTCGAGGAGCCGAAGAAGACAGGACCTGCAGACTGGGAGACTAAATGGACTGAGGCTGATGAGAAGACTGAAGATGGTTAACTAGATGGTAATAAGTAGTAGGTGGCAGAAAGTAAGAAAAAGTACTGAAAAAATGAACTGGGGGCAAGAAACAAAGACGATCAGAACTAAACACAAAGATCAGTAAACACAGACAATAAACACAAAAGACGACCAAAACAACACCCCAACACATAGATCCAGACACACTGATTGTGAAAAAATAATGTTTCCACTCTCCTTCCTTTTTATGTTGCGTATATATTTTTTCTTCTACTGCCAATATCTCCACTGCTCTAATTACTCTGATGTACTTTTATTAAACCTCATAAACTACTTGCTGGCTCTCAACAGTAACTCTTGAGAAGACGAATAGTGCTCGTGGATTCTGTGCGAGCGGGGTCTCACAGTGAACGTTCAGAGTGATGGAGGTTCGGCTGGCGCCTTCTTCATTTTCACACTCCACCGTGTATACTCCGGCGTCTTTCCTCGTCACGTTTCGGATCTCCAGAGAGTGGTCATCGGACCAGTGGTGGCGCAGACTCTCCCCTACACAAAAACATTAAAAAAACACACACACATGCACCTTAATAGTAAATTAAGTATTCATTACATGCTCATCAACAGCATGTCCTCTGGCCACTGGTCTCTAAGTGACATTGAATCCTGCCTTATTGATTGGCCTGGCTGTATTCCCACATCAAGCCAACAATTGTCTTGTGTGAGAGTCGTTTTCTGTGTCACAGCACCCAAAACATAAGAGGTGTGTTTCGTCATTAAAAAATATATAAAAATTATAGTGTAGGCTGCCTATAATGGATGTAGCGAAGTTAACAGGAAGAGGGTGTGGGTGCAGCTAAGCCCTGACGACACCGACCTGCAGGAAGAAGACAGGTTTAAAGCCGTTGTGTTGTATTCGGGGAGACAGCAATCCTCATTTAGACTGCATATATTACAGCTGTAATGAGAATCACATTTGGCAGGGTCCCATGCTCGCTAACCTGCTATGTTTTATTCAGACCCTGAATGGCAGAGCTGAGTGCTTCATTTTTTGCTGGCTCAGCTTGACTAGGGRGCTAGTTTATAGAGCCATCACACAGCCCCCCCCCCCCCCCCCCCACCCTCGATCACCTTTGACCAGCCGTTCCCTGCGGTGCTGCCAAGTGCAGGACATCTCCTCGGGGTTAGCTGAGACCAGCAGCGGGATGGTCGCCACGTCGTCTTCCAACACCAGGATCTCCGTGGGCTGGTCAGGACTGAACTCTGGCGGATCTGACAGGAAATACGGCAACGATAGGAGACGTGGAGACAAAAATCAGGTCCAAAGGAGTGACAGCAAAGAAGGGAGGGAAAAAAAGCCACAGAACAAGCTGAGCATGAAAGCACAAAGAGACGCTAATGAGAGTCAAACCAGTAGAAAGTCAACATCCCACCAATAAATCAGATCTAACCAACTTCAAGCACATAGGCAATGGGGGGGAGGGATGGAGGCAGCGTGGGAGGGGAGAGGGACAGGCCTTTAAATGATGGCTGAGAGTACTGTTGTCCAAATGCAGATCTGCACAAACACAGAGTGACATTCCTTCATGCTCATACACGGCGCCAAGGCTTTGAAGCAGAGGCTGGCTGCTGCCTGTGAAAACGGCATCAAAGGCAAACATGGCCACGCAGCAAAGCAAATGCACAATTAGGACACACTGCCGCAGAGCTCAGCAGACACACAAGTCACAACAAAGGTTCACTGTAAACAAACAAACCAGAAAAGTACAAAAAATAAAAATAACCAAAATAAATAAGTAAATAAAAAAATCAGCAAAACTATCCTGGTAAAGTGAATTTTCTCTGAGCCATTAGCGATCGTATTCATCATTTCCAAAAATTATGCAAACACCATTATGTGGTCATACATAAATAAGAATGGAGACAAAGAAAAAAATTCAAAGGGAGCAGAGAAAGTAGCAAGTCGGTTCCTCACAAAGGACGTTCAGGTGGTAGAAGGTGTTGGCCCCCCTGGCCAACACGGGGCTGTACGCCTGACAGATAACCTTCTGGTTGTGATGCTGTGAACTCAGATTCAAAGACAGAGTGCTGCGAATGGAAACACCACCAAACACGTCCTTCTGGGGCTGCTGCTCAACGCCCGGGAATCTGGGAAACAAATTTCTTGGTCACAAATATGCATGTTGAATGCAGTTTTGTCACCTAAACTCTGAAACCTTTCTCAAATGTTAACGGTTTTTCCAATGTTTACTGGGGCAATTTAAAAAAAAATCACAGTTACATGGATCTGCTGTGGTTTTCGTGCCAGGCAGGGTTGCCAGATAAGAAATGGTAATTTGTTGTACTGTTGCTWWAAAATTATTGTATTTTGAYGTGAAGTGTATCGAACTAAATATCGACAGTATCGATRCCAAGATGATCATCGGTATCAAATCGACACTAGCATGATGACATCAGTACTTTTTTCGCACTTTATTTGCACTAATGACTTTATTTTTCCACGAGCAGACATAAGCAATGAAAAGTATTTTTTTTGTGTTGTTGACATTGTTGTTTTTATATTTTTGTTACACTGATGCTTTTTTGATAKTACACTAGTCACWAGTGACTATTTTTTAAACACAATGGGCCTCATACAAGAACCATTCGTATGAACAGATTTGTTCTTAAGTTGTGCGTACGAGTGATTTAGGAGAATTTGTGGCATTCACCAATTTTCTCATATTCTTCAATTTTTTTCAGATACGAACAAATTTCACGTGTGGTTCAGACCTGTCGTATATTTTACGTGCAGTCAGTCTGCTGTTATCCAGACGGGTTTTCCTCCCTAATAACTTTACATTTCATCAATTTGAAGATCTTTTGAGTCGAAAATAAATCACACTCCATAATTACGTTAACAAGAGGCCATTCTGTTTGAATTAAAATTTTAAATGTAATAATGTAGACTAATGATTGAAATTGTTTAAATTAAAATAAATTAGCTATYAATGCTGTTGTATATTAATATGAAGATCTCAAACTACAAAGCAACTTAAATTATGCATTAATTGAAGTTTAATTTGTCTCAATATATAACGAGCTTTATTCAAACATAGATTATATTATTTTTATTTTACTGAGATTTACTTTCTCCAAAGTGACAGACATACAGTATTTTGGAGGTATTTTAAAATGCTTTTTCAGAACCGCGTCTGTCGGTGCGCGACTGGCACATCAGTTGTTTGCGCTTAGATTAAACATTTTTGACAAGTATATGTTACAAGATTTAATTGAGCAAATTAAGTAAAATTTACCTGATTTATTCACATATCTTTAACTCTATTCTTAATAACTTTTAGTAGAAAATGATGAGTAAATATTACATGAATTTGTAGCATTTACATTACTTAAACGTTAGTGCAAATCGTTTACAGGATTTTCTCAAGTAAATCTTACAAGTTATTTTTTACAGTGTAACTTACATCACGTACTCTAATCATACCTGACCACTGTTTAAAACTTTGGCATGAAAGGCAAACGTTGTACATGAAAGCCTCTGAGCTCGCCGTGAAGCCAAACCTCAATGAGCCCACGCTCCAGGAGACTTCGGCCTTCGGGTTGCTGCTCCCTGACAGGCACTCCAGCGTCAGAATCTCACCACGACGAACCACTTCCTGTTTGGTTKTAATCTTCATGCTCACTGCCGTAACTGGAGAAGGGTTAAACGAGAGGAATCCACCTTCAGTTTGTGTTATAAATCATCATAAAAGCCCCAGAGTTAAATATCACAGAATCTAGATTTATATCTTATCAATTTACCTAATTTTATCATTAATATGCATCTCTCAGCTGGATGTGAGGAATAAAGGTCAAGTGGTATTTATGTTCTGGAGCTGCAGTGTTACTCACAGTGAACCAGGAGCTTTGTGTGTGCAGAGATGGTCTTCTCAGCCTTGTTTGTGGCGTCGCAGCGGTAGGTAGCCAGGTTATCACTGGCGCTCAGGACCAGGCTGAGGGTGCGAGCCACGGCCATGTGAGATTTTGTCTGCGGCTGAGCGTTTTTCATCTCCTTCTGATTCTGAAACGTCAATCAGTGTGTGTTTGTGTGTGTCTGACAGATGTTACAACACAGACAAAACAAATCAAAACTCTCACTTTGAACCATGTCAGTGTTGCAACGGGGTTCCCTCCAGTTGAGTGACAAACAAGGGTGACCGTGGTTCCCGACTGAAGGGGCGTGTCTTCAGGTGGTGAATCAAGCCAGACGTTTTGAGGTGGGTCTGTTTTTAAAAAAAGATTAAATATAGTTTTTCTTTTTTAAAATTCTTTGATTAATTTGACTTCAAAAAGGTTGTTTAGATCACAAGTCAAAGTCAAGGCCTGCAGGTCAAATCTGGTCTTTTAAAGGGGTAATATCGTGTAAAATCAACTTTTTTGCGTTTTATATCATGTTATAATGTTATACTCTCATAAAAAACATGCCCAAAACCTTGCTTTGACTCATTCATGCATGYTTGAGAAATCCTGCAGCGTTTTTAGGMAGCCATGCTGAGGAGCAAAACGACAGGTGGGGACCAGAAACGCCTTTTGGTACCAGAAACGCCCCTGGGACGTGTCTTTAAGCCGAACTTTCTCATCACAGAGCACACCTCCCCACCCACCTCCCCACACACCCCGTCGATGACTCCTGCAGGCTCTCGCAGTAACAGAGCAAAGTGAAAGTGAAACTTAACTGTCTGCTGAGCTCTCAACACTACTTCTCACTCAGTGAAGCTCTTTTCAGATTCAAAATACCTTTGTGGAAATGTATTTTCAGATGCCAAGTAAACTGCATCACAGCGCACACACAACCACYCCCCTACGGAATGGAAGCAGAAGGTGGTTCTTAAAGAGACAGAGGCCAATTTCAAGGCGTCTAGAAGAGGAAGTGATGAGAAGATAWGTTTATTTTCTGTTTAAACATAAAACCGCATTTTAATAACAGCTAAAGGTGACATAGATACTTTATTATGGTATAGTATTTAAATATATGCCTGTGAAACACATATTATCGCCCCTTTAACATTTTTCCTGATCCCAAAGGTAATACTTTAAATGTGAAATAATTTTAATTTCTCTAATTATCACTGTATTTAGTGTATTCTTCTCATGACAGTTAGTCAACTATCAGGCCAAGAAAAAAAGTTACAACTTTTCAGTAATCTTTGATTTTGGAGCAAAAATCGTTAGCTCAAATCTGACTGAATTGACGAGCCAAAGACTGAAATGAATGGGACCGAGACAAACGTAGACTGAAATCTTAAAATAACTAAAGATCAGACATTTAAAAGTTCCAAGTTGCAAAACTGACAACAGAGTAAAAGTTTAAAAAAAAAACTGTTGGCATGAGCTGCTCTGTTGCAGCAATCCACTTTGGTTTTGGCACCATTCTGACTGTTAGATATTAGATGTGTTAAAATCCTGATTAAGCTGAATGCACTTTCAGTTTGTAAAGTCAAAACATGATGACTTGAGTGTATTTGTAGTTTGTAATTCATGTAATCTACAGGTCTAAATTCTGTGCTCCTTTTTGTTCACTGCTTTGAAAAAAATTCTATCATTTAATTTATTCTTACTGTCCGAATAAAACTGCTCTGCTCAGACAACCTCTCTTGATGTAGCTGTTTTCTGTTCAAATCCTGATCTTTTCTATCKGTTGGTTCATTCCTAACTAACCCTGGAGATGTGTGACAGCTGTGTGTGAAGTTACAACTGAGCTTCTAAAAAAAAATGTCCCGTGAGCAAAACTTATGGTCAACATCTGTCATGASCTCAACGTGTGCACACTGCCTGAAAAGATCACACAACTAATCAAATCAAAAGAGCATTTATACAGAGGTAAAGTCACTGAAATATTGTTTAAAACAACCAGAAGATTTAAAATGTGGTATTTAGATTGAAGTCTTTGCATAGTCTTATTCTTCAGGCAAAACAAAATGATCAAGCATCAGCAAATCCTAAAGCTGAGATCTGTGTGGGGCTTTTTCTAGTCCTTCAGGAAACATTAGTTACAAAATAAAAATGTAAAAGGCACATTTTTTACATGACTGTTAGATATTTCCACTTTGTGATGCATGCTGCTTAGTATAAATACATACACATTGTGCCTTAATGCGAACATACAGTTATTATTAAAAAAAATCCTTAGTTTGGTCACATGATTTAGTGTCATGTGACCAGGGGGAGTTTGAAGKAATTTATTAGTTAGATTCAGATTTAAAGCACCACATCATTTGTCTTTGTTTCCTTTTTAAGGTGAGGTGTAATAACCACGTCTTCTAGTTCTGCGGAACTGCTGCTGCTCAGTGAAGAGAGAAACTCTGAAACAGGCTGGTTGAACAGCAAGAATCTTTATTTTGCAGTCCAGGAGATTACAGCCAAAAACCAAATTATGGCCTCCGAGCCAAATGATTCACCAAGTAAGAAAGATGAAGAACGAAGGCAAAGGGTAGGGGCGTACAARCCTCTTTATAGRTTGCACAGTGTAGTTCAACAGAGGCATCATAAATTTTGTCACGGTGTACCTTAAGCATTCCTTTTCCTAAAATGGTATAATGCACCGAGCTCTGAAGCTGGAGAACTAAGAGAGGCATAACAAATGTGTGCGTTCCTGAGAAGAGGCCCCCACTCTTGGACACTACAAAGGCTTGACTTTTATAATCTATTGTTTGACTATTGTAATGTCCTGATTAAAATAGTTTTAGGTACATGCCCAAAACATCATGACAACACATAGAAAAACCGTTATAAATTTATTAGGAAAGAGCATTTTCTGTACGAGTTGCCTGCGATTCAGCCGTAGGCCTGTAGTGGGCGTANTTGCACAGTGTAGTTCAACAGAGGCATCATAAATTTTGTCACGGTGTACCTTAAGCATTCCTTTTCCTAAAATGGTATAATGCACCGAGCTCTGAAGCTGGAGAACTAAGAGAGGCATAACAAATGTGTGCGTTCCTGAGAAGAGGCCCCCACTCTTGGACACTACAAAGGCTTGACTTTTATAATCTATTGTTTGACTATTGTAATGTCCTGATTAAAATAGTTTTAGGTACATGCCCAAAACATCATGACAACACATAGAAAAACCGTTATAAATTTATTAGGAAAGAGCATTTTCTGTACGAGTTGCCTGCGATTCAGCCGTAGGCCTGTAGTGGGCGTASCAGGCACTGAAGATCCCTGTATTTAAAGACCRGAACKTCCGGTTTCAGGCAGCGCTGCTCAGATGGCTTCAGCGTAAGCAATAAAAGCTTCGCTCGTAACCAGATCTGGGTTGTATGGTTCCATTTCTCTTCACATTTTAATCTATTCAATATTTATGTGGTTTCGTCATGATTTCAGTTAACGAACACAAAATATTTTTACAACATAACAGGAGGGGAAAAAACATTTTAACAGGAATGGTCCTTCTGCTGACCTGAAATTATATAAATATTTGAAAAAAATTGGAAATAACAGCAATGTTATAAGAAGAGGAAACATCCATCCATCCATCCATCCATCCATCCATCCATCCATCCATCCATCCATTGACTTGACCCAATAAAGTGGTCTGAAAGATAGAAACTGGTGTACATAAAAAAAAAACATCTGTTTGGGGAGAACATGCAAACTCCACACAGAAAAGTTCTAGCTAAAAGTTGAATCTCCTATCAACAAGGAAACATTAGTAATCAGCTCCACCAGGAAACAGAGTGGTAAAATCCTTTTTGGTCTGCTCTTTTATTTCTGGATTGTCAGATAATTGAAATAAACCAGAAAGCAGAAAATGAGATAAAACTTGAAATATCTTGAGCTCAGCCACTTTGTAATAAAATAGAAAAAAAAATACACGTGCCTCGGCTTTATTTTTGGTTTGTGAAAGACAAAAGTGTATGACTGCTTACTTACAAAACACGCTAATTTTATCAGTTTGGATTTTGGAGGCCCGTGTGCCGTTGTTAAAAGCCTCACAGGTCAGCTTCAGTCCATCCTCCTCTCGGGAGACCCGGTGGGTCACATCAGACTTGGTTGTCATCCCTCCATTGTCCCCCTGCAGACACAGAGCATACATGACAGTTTAGTCAGGGGTAAAGACAGAATTGTTCTGGCAGCATCCTCAGCAGTAGAGGAGGAAAAAAAAAAAAACAACAACCCTCACTGGTTTGTCTTGGTGAATACAGATGGCAAATTAGCTGCTGTAATGACTGATGTTGTGCACGGCCTGTGATAAATAAGCATATTCATCTGATTCTCCTGCTTTGCTCCCTTTGTTATAAATTGAGCACAGTGTCATTTTGCACCTGCCTGATCGCGGTCATGCCTATGCAGCACATCTGGTTATTAAAGCCATTATTGTGGTGATTACGGTAAAAGCCGCAGTCAGGACGGGTAACAAAGACGCCGAAAACAGGAGCGTCAGTCTTCATTAACTTCCCACTGTTTCACATGCATTAAAGCTCACACGCAGCCCACCGAGTGCCTCGCTGAAGATCAAATGAAAACGCCACCGCCAGATGAATAAAGAGCTTGTTTAATAATACTCATCTTCCGTGTCAGCTTTTATTCACTTTGATCTTATTAATGTACACAAAAGAGAAGAAGAGCTGCAGGAATACTCTTTTTTTCTTTTCTTTTTTTTTTTTGGAATGGGCTGACTCGTTTGCAAAGCTGCGGCGAGCCTATTCAGGGAGCGCTCATGGTCAGACTGTTTGCTTTCATCTGTCATGGCTCACATCAGGTCACATTTCATATTGAGGAGTCTTTTAATTTAGTAGGAGGCATTTTAAAAGCTCTCTCTTTGTGCCAAGGAGGGGGCTTGATTAAACAGGAAGTAAAATGTGAATGAACATTTCTACCTTTTAGCTGTTGTTTACAAAAAAAAAAGAGGGAACACAACCTGACACAACCAGCGGTGGGCAGCACTAATCTAAAAATTAATTGCACTAACCCTAAAGCACTAACTGTAATATTTAGGTCCCCTAAAGCAGCAGTTCCCAAACTTTTATCTTCTGACCCACAAAATATCCATGGCAAAATCTTGTGACCCCAAATATTACTGGTCTGAGTACACA